TGCTTTTTGGCCAAGCAAATGGCCACTGGAAACACATAGTTCTCCTGTGTTATTTACATACTTAACAAATTCGCCCTTGATGTACCGCTCATTTGTTATGCATTCACCTGTACCTTGTATCTTACCAAAGTAGACCATTTGAAACTGCATGACAGGACCAAACTTCTCACAAATATTCTTCTGCTTCACAGTTTTCGAAAGCTGATCAGCAAAATTTTTGGAAAGATGGTGCATCTGAACTACTTTCTTAGTTTGCTCTTCCATAGATTGGCCAAGATCATTTGTCACCTCATTGACAACTTTTTCTAAGTATCTCTTTACGACCCAATCTTTGCCTTCAAATCCAGCAGTGTTGCTGCTAGCTTTGTAGGCTTTACGGAAACCACCTTAAATAATATTTATAACATTCACAAAAAGCTATCATTCTTCAGTAGGTTCCTGAGAAACAAAATACTAAAACTATAGTGTCATACAGGATTTAAATATATTTATGCAATCAATTTATACTGTTAACATCCCCCCCCCGGGCATACCCCAAACATTTGACACATTGCTCTATACCCAGAGTAAGAAATTTGACCTTTTGAACAGCTGTTAGAGTAGGGTATTTGACGCTGAGTCACAATACATGGGGCTTGGAGTATACTTTAAATACATCCTGGAAACTTTATAAAGCATTAGGTAATAATAATAATAATTTAATGCTAATGTCGCGCAAATTTACATTCATGAAATGTTTCATGAATGTTTACAGTATACATTGGGTTAGTGCTATTTTCCATCCAGCAAACTGCCCTATTGAAATTTTCAAAAGCTGTTTCTTTTTGCATTTTTTTTATTATTTTGGTTAGGGATAGAACTAGGGTTGCGGTTAGAGTTGGGGTAGGGTTTGAATTAGTTACATAGCCATTTAAAACCTCTTTCATCTTCCCGATAATGACATCAGGTTAATTTGCCAGATGGAAAAGAGTGCTAACCTATAAATTGATTGGCGCCTTATACTGTACCTTCTCCAAGTACAGAATTTTCAACAATAAATTCCACTGTTTGTGGGAGTACAGACCAGGACAAACTGCTAAAATCAAAGCTGAACACGTCAATGATCATTGTGTGGGTTGTATCAGCAACGCTAGGCTTGATTAGCTTTCCCAGTTTGATCATTTGTGATACTGTCAAGCTTTTGGGGGCAGGCCTTTTTGCAGCAGACGATGAACATCTTTCACTTTTAATTTTCCTTTTATCAGGGCTTTCTCTCACATGAACACATTCACTCATGAAACTGAATGCGGGATTTTCTTCTCTCATAATATCTTTGGATACAAACGAAGTGGATGGCCGATTTATTTGTGGTTTGATGAATCTGACATGGACTACTTTAAGATCAGGAACATGTTCCATTGATAAGCAAGAGGGTCCTTGGTCTCCTGCTAATACGTCACATTTTAATCCTTCCTCTGACAAGGACTTGTAATGTCTTTCGCATGCCGCTTTGATTGCATGAATACTGACTTCTTCTTCGTTAAATGGGACAAACTCACGTGCCCCAATCCGGCTGTATTTTTGGGCTTTGCCTGATACTTCCGAGCTCAGTCTTTGAACTACAAGTTCCCCGTTACGTACAATCAGATCTCCGGCGCTCAAACCTTTATTGTTTACGGCTGGTTGTCCTTTTTTACATCGCTTGTCTTTCATTTTCTCTCTAAAAACATCCCACGTGTCTTGTTTCTTCGCCGCCATATTGAATTTAAGTTGAATTGTGGCTAAGCTTATATGAAGTATGACCAACTGCATACAATTAGACTACCAAGTATTGCGGGCTATGGCGGTTCTCGGCCATCGGTGATTTCATTTTCATTCGATTTTCATTTTCATTTGATTTTGTTTTGAAATCATTTTTGTTTTATTTTAATTTTGATTTTATTTCTTTTTCTATTTTGTTTACACTTTAATTTTTAAACTATTTTATTTTTGAAAATATAAAAATTCGCTATGGCGGTTCTCGGCCACCATAGATATGTTCAAAGGGGCCGAAGTTATTTTCGGCGAAAGGTATGAATAGTCTATATTTTTGTTCAGACAATTGCGTAATTTGATACAATATTATCGTGTTTGACTTCAAAGGCCCATAAATCGCTACAATGTTGATAATGACTATAACTATAGGGAGGAATTAGTTGAATCTTTTATTTCTGAATCGAATGGTGGTATTTCTGTCTTCATAGCACGCACTGAACCGAAGATATAAAAATTTCTCGCCGTCAACCGCTAGCGGATGACGAGACTGGCTTAAACACCTGTAACCTTATTGTTGGTGGCATAATTACCCTTCGTTTCTACCTGTTGCACTATGAATTGCCTAGAGTATATATAACTGGCAATCAACCCTGGTCTTACAATGCTTCTCCTAGGTTTGAAACAGTGTGCGAAGATGGGAAGAAATAGAAGAGGTCGTGGCCATAGAGGAACGAACCGTACACACGACTATGTAATTTTAATATCAATAATGAATAAAATTCTTTACGTTTACAGTGTGGTTTCCTTCCTTTTAAGTGTCCATCCAGGGTCACAAGGCCTGGACACTACGTTTGATCACTATGATCACGTAGTGAGCTCACGAGTGGAAGGAAATAAAGTAAGCAAGACCTTGAGAAAAAAACTCAACAAAAAATATCGAAATCATATATATATATATATATATATATATATATATATATATATATATATATATATATATATATATATATATATATATATATATATATATATATATATATACACAAAACGAACTTTTTTAAGACTTTTATTCTTATCCTACGTTTCGGGGCATGCCCCTTTATCAAGGATAAATAACAGAGTTAGATGTACATGCTTTTATATCCTATTCAATTCATTAACATAAATTACCCAAAATCCCTTACATTTAATCCCTTAGGTGCAAACGTGTCCAAATTATATGCCCAAAATGGCTCTCTTTGCGTAGGATCATTCATATTTGTTTTGTCAATAATAATAACTCTGAGATCGGCCAAGCCCTCGTGTTCCTCGCCAAAAAAATGCGCATACAAGTGCCCGCCAGCCATATGCCTGATCCCTTGCCCATATTTCCTAAGAGAACTCTTATGGTTGTTAAACCTCTTCCTAAAAGTTGTTCAAGTACTACCAACATAAACCTTAAAACACCTAGCACATTTAAGCAAATAAATCACCCCTATTGAGTCACAATCGAAGGAATAATTTATCCAGTAAGTATGCCCATTGTGTTCAAACATTTGAGTTTCCACTACAAAATTACAGATCTGACATCTGGCTTTATCGCACTTTTTCATCCCCTTCCCCTCAACATTTACCTTTTTAACCTTAGATCTAATAAGATTATCTGCCAAATTTCGTGGCCTTCTAAACGAAATCAAGGGCTTCATATCACTCAAAATTTCCCTCATACCCTCCGAAGCTTGCAAAACATGCAGGCCACAAAGAATTAACTACCTCACCAACCCCCGATAATGCAGGGTGGAAATTCAAAACCAAAGGCAACATATTTGACTTTAAATCTTTTTCTTTCCTGTGAAACAGCAAAGCTCTTCTGTCATTACTCTTAGCTCTCTCAAATTGAGAGACTATTTGACGTTCTTTAAATCCTCTATCACACAGATGTTTTTTCAACTCCCCAACCCGTTGATCAAATTTACTTTCCGAATTACAAATACGTTTTAATCTTAATGCCTGCCCATACGGAATAGCCTGTTTTACATGTCTCGGATGGCATGAACTAGATTCCAAATACTGGTGAGTATCCGTAGGTTTCGAATACACATCAGTAAAAACACTACCTCCTACATCTTTGGAAATGGTGACGTCCAAAAATGAAACTTGACTCATATAGACCAATCCCACGTGTACTTAATTGTGTTATGGTAACAAAGTTTGCCCCGGCTTTTGCTAATATATTTATGTATGTCCTCGAAACAAAAATGTTGCAGGAATGCGATTGGAAACCGTGGATATGGTGGAGATTTTTGGATGATATTTTTTCATTTGGTTGCATGGTGAGCAAAGATTGAGGGAATTTCTAAATTTTATTAATTCTTACCATAACACAATTAAGTACACGCGGGATTGGTCTATGAGTCAAGTTTCATTTTTGGACGTCACCATTTCCAAAGATGTAGGAGGTAGTGTTTTTACTGATGTGTATTCGAAACCTACGGATACTCACCAGTATTTGGAATCTAGTTCATGCCATCCGAGACATGTAAAACAGGCTATTCCGTATGGGCAGGCATTAAGATTAAAGCGTATTTGTATATGTATAGGCCAAGAGACTATTTATATTCAAACATGTATGCCATAAACATGTTCCGATTAAATGGTAGTTTTTCTATAAAATTACATAATTAGATATTTGAATAATTTAATTCATTTAACTCACCCGAGGTTATCGGTGATTCGTCATTTATAGCCTAATGCTGTACTTCAGTATTATTTACGGGCTCCCACACGGCGGTGTGAGGAAGAACGAGCTCCTGAGGGTTAGAATTTGCTAATTTTACAGATAAATTGCAAGTCTCAATCATTTTTGTGAAGAATTTGTAGTGTCTATCATAATTAGCATAATGAACATTAATTATGGACCACGAGGAAGTAAGCAAGATGGCGATATAGATGCAACTGTAAGATATGTTCTGTTAGAGATTATTAAAGAAAGCATAGATATAACAATGTTATAGACAACATTATATTGGCGACGAAGATCGTTTCATATACAAGTACCTCAAATGGCGACTAGCTTACCAGAATTTGCTTCTTTTGACGCCGAGAATCGGGAAAATATCGAAATTAGATGGCAACGATGGTTCATGCGATTCGAATATCTACTGATTGCACTCGATATAAAAGACAAGAAAAGAAAACGAGCGTTATTATTATACTATATCGGTGAAAGTACTCTAAATATCTTTGAAACAATGCCAGAGACAGGCACAGAAGACGACTATGACAAAGCGTATCAAGCTTTAAATGAACACTTTAAACCTCGCAAGAATACATCGTTTGAAATATTCAAGTTTAGGAAAACAAACCAACTTGTTGACGAAACTCTCGATCAATACCATATGGGTACGACTCGTCCAGAAAGCTAAGTACTGTGAATTCTCAAACTTAGATACTGAGATAAAAGCTCAAATTGAGCTAGGGACCAATTCCAAACAACTTTGACGATATGCTTTCCGTAAACCAAAACTGACTTTGGCTGAACTCTTAGACTATGGACGGACGCTTGAAACTGGTGAAGAGGATGCGAGCGGAATTGAGCAAAATATGAATGAAACACCAATGAAAGATATCCACGCCGTACGACGAAATCCGGCTGCTACAACGCCTAAGAAAATATGTTTCTTTTGTGGATTAAACTGGCCACATGTGAATGTTTGTCCGGCAAAAGGGAAAACATGCAACCATTGTCGATAATAAATAATAATCGATATTAAACTTAATGATAACATTATACAACAGGCTTCTCATATCAAATTTTTAGGTGTAATTTTAGATTGTGAATTAACATGGAAAAACCATATAAATTCGGTTGCTAAACATATAATTAACTATCTGCGGCACTTATAGCAAAACTACGACATTACACAAATAAAAATACACTTAAGTTGATTTATTATGCATTGGTTTATCCATATCTTACTTATGGGAATCTAGTATGGGGTAATACGTACCCAACAAGGCTACAGAAAATACAGAATATACAGAAAAAATTATCAGATTGATAAGTTTTAAATCGTATCTTGAACACACTGAGCCATTGTTTCAGAACTTAAAGATCTTGAATATCTTTAAGATCAATGACTTTTTAAGTTGTTTATTTATGTACCGGTTTAAACGTCTACAAAACTTACCTGAATATTTTAATGGCTACTTCGCACAGAACAATGAAGTGCATCATTACAATACTCGAAATGCTAACAAATTTCATGTAAATTTTAGTAGAACAAATTATGCAAAACATTCTATTGTTAACAAGGGAGTTAAGATATGGAATTCACTCGATAATGAAATTAGCAGTATTACATTTTATTGTACTTTTAAGAAAAAGTCAAAATTATTTTTCTTGTAAAATATACTTTAATTGTTATTATCTGTAAACTTTGTTCAATTAGCTCATTATATTACTTTTACTTTAAAATTTTCCTTACTTTATACTTGTATTTGTAAATATTCCTATATTCTTTCGACATTATATGATTAACTTACCATATAAAACAATTGTAAAAATATTATAGAACTAGGGACCTTTGAACAAAAAGCCTGAAAGGGTTTCATGAAGGCTCCTAGCCCGTCATATTTTATTGTATACTTTAGATTGTAAATATTAACTTTTTCATATGGACAAATAAAATTCAATTCATTCAATTCATTCATTCATTATCACAAGCAAAACCATTTTGCACGATGTTGTAAATCGAGAATCTCAGCTGGACAGCGCGAAAGTAAGTTTCCTCAGAAATCCAATGAACGAAGATCCCAAGTAAAACAAATAGACGAACAATGTACGAATTCAAGCTCAGATGAATATGTTTACACAATAAAAAAACAAACCCCTGATACTAACAAAGTCGTTTTAACGTCTATAACCACTTCACCCACAGGAGGAACTGTTAATGAAGTTAACAGTGACTGTCGCTAACGAAATTTCTACACCCATATTAAAATCAATGACATAACTATTCGTGTAAACATTGATTCTGGTGCCAGTGTAAATATTATCGATAACACTAGTTTTAAGAAATTAACACGCCAGAACAACATTCACTTGATGAAAAGAAAAAGAAAACTTTTTGCTTTTGCCACTAAAACACCCCTCGACATCAAAGGGTATTTCGAAGCTTCAGTTGAATCAGGAACAAAAATTACCACAGCCCAATTTTATGTGATAAACACTGATGCTGGATGTCTAATACGTGGAAACACTGCAATTGATCTTGGGTTATTAAAGCTAAACAAAATTGCAATTGTTACATCTCAACCTGAAATCCATCAACCTAAGAAAAATGCTCCAACAAATACCAAGTCTAGACCTAAAAGATAGAGAACCTTATTTTCGAAATATGATAATTTATTCCAAGGAATTAATCGGAAAAGTCCCAGATTATACAAAGTCCATTTACACATTGATGAAACTGTCCAACCCACTATTCAAAAAGCCCGCAGAATCCCATTTACAATGAGAACCAAACTATCAGAAGAACTGCGACGTCTTGAATCATTAGATATTATTGAAAGTGTAACAGGCCCCACGTCGTGGGTATCTCCCATTGTTTGTTTCCCCAAACCCATCAATCCCGACCAAATTCGTCTTTGTGTTGACATGCGTATACCCAATAAAGCCATTTCACGGGAACGTCACCCTTCTCCCACAACTGAAGATTTAATTGAAAACTAAATGGTGCTGCATATTTCTCAAAACTTGATCTAAGCTCTGGGTACCATCAACTAGAGTTAGATGAAGCTTCGCGTGGCATAACTACATTTGCAACTCATGAAGGTCTCAAAAGATAATTTTTAACAATATTGTAGAATTTTACAGTATAACATCTAATAATACAAAAGAAGAAGTTAATTTCGGAACATTTTACATTTAAAACTCATTGCAGTTAAAAGATCTAAAAATAGTTCTTGATAATTCATAATTTGGAACGTAATTCATAAAATGTACAAGTCCAGCGTTAACGCCTTTAAATTGCGCAATTGCTTAAAAAACCTCTGCTGTAACAGAGTTTAATTTGAACTCGTCTATATGTTCATCTTTCGCACGAAATGGCGATCTAAATCCTCTCGTGCACAAATGCACTGATTTCAATATTTCGAAAGACAATCTTGTTCTGATCCAGGTAATAACTGTTGCGTAATCTTCTCCGTTTTTCCTCGACAATTTCTCGGCAAGATGCTTTAAGAATTTCTGGCATTCGTCTCCAACTCCTCCATTCGTTCCAAAGACTAAAGGCGTAAATGTTCCCATTTCCACGTCTAAGATTCTCTGTTGGTACTTTCTTTTCTTCTCGGCTTCTTGTTCCTTAAAGATATCAGATGTGGCTTTGTTTTGATGACATTGGGAGTTTACATGCGATACACGGACGTCAAAAAATGATGTAACTCCTCTTGCCCAAAACTCGCCAGCTTTGATATCCAATCGCGCATCCGGGCTTCTGTTGGTGGACTGTAAACGGAATTGTTCATTGCCCAATGGCATGATTTTCGGTTTGGCTTCCACGTTGTTGCATACTCTGCTGAGCAGCGTGGTCAGTAAATCACGAACACCGTCATGCCTTCGGGCCACAAAACCTCCTCTTTTACACGATAATGCGTGGTTGACGGAAAATGCAGACCCACAAACGCAATGACTTGGCAAGTCGGGCAATGGCATGCCATACCGCATTCTTATAGAATCCTTAAATTCTTCTTTGTTGAGGGTCAAACCTTGTTCTTCAACCGGTATAGCATTTAACCATGAGCTTGCTCCTTTATCCCGCGCTTGTTTAACAAGAAGTAGGAGATCGGCTGGGAGAGACTCGTCGATACGTTCTCTTTTTGCATTGGCATTTGCCCTCTTGATTGACTGCTGTTCGTTTTTTATCTCGTTAGTGATCTCTGGCATGGAAGTGCATTGCGATAATATTGCCTCCACATGTGGGCGTGTTATTGACGTCGATGCTGCGTACTGTTGTGGCGCTTCTTCACTTAATGCAGGTATCCCTAAACCTCCTTGTGCAGGGGACAGTGTGATAACTTCGTGCAATTCTTCGGGCAGAGGCTCTTCTTGGCCGAACAAGGCTGGGAGAAACAACTCACTTATGGCTTCCTCGATAGGGTTAATATAATCTTCAAAGGAGCTTATCGTTCGCATAAAATATGTAAACTTCGATTTGAAGCCCTTTGTGAAAGCAACATAGGCTGAATGAGGTTGACTTTTTGCAATATCACTTAGTGCTTCGATTTCTTCTCTCCAACTGTTGACCTTTTCGTTGCAGTACTCTTCTTTGTAATTTGTAGAACCAATAACTGCGCCCAGATGTCGCCTTCCTTCAGTTGTTATTTTCACCTCGCTTCCAAACACCCGTTCTGCTTCTGACGCCAGAAGTTGTGATTTAACAATAAGCCAGCTCTTAGAACCGTTTACATGGTATCCATACTTCAAGCCTTCTTCACACAGATAACGATACCAACTATAGAGCGCTGCAATCGTTCCTCCCCCTGCTGAGTCATCAGCCAACCAAACTTGTTTGACGTCTGGGCTAGCGAGTCTCAGTGATTGTATGATGGTTAATGTATTGATTGAATACCAAGGCATGGCCAAAGGGTCACCTTGAGTGGTGCCTTCTTGAGACAGTATCTCCCCTCCACCACAAATAAAAAGTCTAGAAAGACTTCTATAGGTGTTGATAAGATACTGCGAGATTTCATTACAAGTAATCTGGATATTATGCATTGCCACGGAGCGATTCATTTGGTTGAAAGCATTACTTGCGTCGATAAGAAGTATTCCATCTGTTTCAGCTTCAGCAAAGATCTCGCTCATTGCGTGTATCGCGGCTTCAGCGCCCGCGTTGTGCCCAGCACAAACTTGTAGCGGGCCCGCTGCTTGTTTCAACTCTTCTTTGAAAAAAGCTGACACAGTTTTGCCAATAATTCGCCTCAGTACTTCGCCTACACCTATTGGCCTAATTCCAGGGTTCTTGTCAAGGGGAATCAATCTACATGATGTAAAGGCCTCTAATAGGGAGGGATGGTATGAAGACTTCAGCAGATTTCTCGTCATTATGGCTATTTCCTCCCTTAAGAGTTTTCCCTCGGTCTTGAAACTTTTTGAACACACGATTCTTCCATATAGTTCGGCATCCATTCCCGAGGGCCCTGCCGAACCTATTGTTTTTAACGCTGCGTTGTAGATGGTCTGCTCATCAATCAAATCGAAAGTATTTGGTGGAACATAATCCATCGGCCCATACAAAAGGCTCCCCTCTTGCACCTCTGCAGCTGTTGGGTGTTTCTGTTTAAGCTCTTTAATGACTTCTGGCGATAGATTACATAAACCGGATGAACTCTCTTTATCTAACATCTTTATAGCAGCCGTGATTTTTCCTTGCATGACCAATTTTGCAAAGGTTTTAGACACATCTTCCATAGATCTAGCCTTCCTCGAGGATTTAAATTTCTTTTGAATAAATCTTACTTCTTTCATTAGTAGTGATACGTCGCCTTGTCTCCATAGGAGTAATCTGCGATCGATAGCTGAACTATGCTCTTTACTCTTAGACTTTGCAGACGGCTTCTGCAAAATCAGCGTAGGAAGTATCATAAATACTTTTAATGCAATTGAGTTCAACTCAGCATTGGAATTAAATTGTTTGAGCCAGTAAGTTAATTCAGTTATGTAATCTTTGCCTGCTCTACCGGACGGGATT